ATAGAAAAGGTTTCGATAGACCACAGATACAGCCACGATAGGTCAAACATAGAGAAGTCTCAATAGACCGCAGATACAGCCACGATGGGCTCTATGCATGGCGGGATTTCCGGTGAAGGTTTAAGGATGCTCAATAACTTCCGCCGATCGTAGAGTCCGATGCAGTACCGATAATTTATATTGAATTTAAACTCCATGTTTTAACAAAAGAAACGTTAGTCACGAAAACAGATTTTTTAAATTAAATAAACATAACTATATAAAATTTACATTTGAACATATGAAGGTTTTGTTTCAAAGACGAGAGGACAGTAAATTTTGAAGACTCTGCCATAATCCCGTTTCCTCGGTTTTCCTCCGCTTTAATCTTCCCAACCGGAAACTGAAATGCGGAACTTATGCTTATAGCCCATAGGCCAGACATAGACAGGTCTCGTTAGACCACAGATACGGCCACTATAGCCAGACGTAGACAAGTCTCCATAGACCACGGATACAGCCACGATAGGCCAGACATAGAGAAATCTTGATAGACCGCAGATACAGGTGTAGACAGGTCTCGATTGACCATAGATACAGCTACGATGGACAAGACAAAGACAGGTCTCGTTAGACCACGCAGATATAGCCATGGTGGCCAGACATAACCAGACTCGATAGACCACGATGCAGGTATATATATAGACGTTTGGATGGACCCCAGGTACAGCTACAATAGGCCAGACGTATACAGGTCTTATTAGACCACGCAGATATAGGCATGATGGACAGATCTCGAGAGACCACAGATACAGCCGCGATAGCCAGACTTAGACTGGACTTGATATACCAGATACGGCCATGATAGCCAGACATAGACAGGTCTCGATATACTATAGATACAGCCACGAAAGCCAGACACATACCAGTCTCATTAGACCACACAGATTTAGCCACGATGGCCAGACATAGACAGGTCTCCATGACCACACGGATATAGCCATGATAGGCCAGACAAGACAAGGTTTAATTGTATATGAATAAATATATGGCTATGGTGCCGCTTGAAGACAAGGCCACGCGAGGCCATTGCCTGATACCACCACCAGTAATTGTATAGAATTTACCTGAATATCGCTGAAGAGCTTGCTGGGCTTCAAGGATGATTGGATCAGCTCTTAGTTATGACTCGAATGCAGAGGAAGACCATCTGCCGAGGATTTTGATGGCTGCAACAGAACTACCAAGTTCGGCCACTGCCATGGCAGCCCCAGTCCTGTAGGAATGGCAGTACACAGGGAGGAGGATAGACTGCAGCTATTGAGGTCGGAACTGACGAGACCCGAACCAGGTTAAGAAGGTAGTGCTCCGTTAGTTATGATAAATCGAAATTTGAACATAGATGAGAATGGGCAGAATTTGCAAATTTATAAATTGATAATGTGATAGACCTTTATAGTCATTCTTAGTTCTTGAGAAAAAGAGGAAGGAAATAAGGGATAAACGTAATTAGAGAAGATCGTGGGGAAAATCGGAGTATTAACTCCTGGAGATAATCCCCTGAATGTATGAGCCATGAACGCTGTGACAGACAGTTACAATTGAATAACACTAGAAAAGAGACCATTGCAGACAGACGTAGTCGAAGGGGTTGAATGGATTTTGCTTCCGACTTGGAGTGTAGCGCTGCCGTTCAAGCATAAACAACAACTGCAAGGTTACACACTCAAAGTTAAAAGAGTGAGAAAAATTCATTTAAGATTTACTTTTAAAGATTATAACAGTGCCGGTAGAAGCTAGTGACATCCTCCAGGTTAGTGAATCACGAACTAAATTTACATGAATCCTGCCAACAGGACATGATTTACGATATAGATGATGAGACAGAATAACCTAATCGGTGACTTGAGATAGCAACGCATGAGCTACATATTTCATCGATGGAATGATGACTTTATGTTGACACTTCTTGAGACTCCATCCTGTGTGAATCTGATTGACAGAAAAGTTTTAAATTGCGGTGATAGTTAATCGAAGCTGCAACGTGCTGTTGAAACTTTGACTACTTTTATAAGTCATAGGTTTGCTATGCCTTAAGCAACAGAGAAGGTACAGTGAACAGACTTGAAAAATTTAGGATTAAAATACTTGCGTGAATTTGGATGCCTGAAAACGAACTATGAATGGACAAAATGTTAAATTACAATTTTCATAATTGTATACAATGAAGGAACAGCCGGCCATGATCGGTACATGAAAGAGACTCCAAGTGATACATGATCTGTTGTCTCCTGATTGTGGAATCCTTTTCTCAGGTGTGAAGCATATGACTGACATGGCTCCTGAGTTGCTCTTGCAGAAATAGCCCCATTCATGCTGGGAGATCGCTGGCCACAACCAGTAGAGACTCTTGAATAGAATGATACATGAAAAAGTAAATCATACAGTTGAGCGAAGACAATGTCACTGGAGCCTCCTTCACTGACTTCTCATAAATAATACTACAGTAATATGACTATTAGTTCTACTGAGTTAACAGTTTTGACTAAGTATGTGGCTTTAACCAGAGCCACGCAGCTGCCTTGATCCTTTAGACTGCATTTCTCTGAAAATTAATGTGAAAGCACCCCTCACATTAATTCTTACTCCGATCACACATTTCAATGGATTACGTAGTCACCAGAAAGGTTGAGTATGAAAATATATATATGAAAATATATGAAAATATAATATATGAAAATAGTTGTTTGTAAATTCTTACGCAATTAATAACTTGCTGCCATTGTAGATATGATCACTGCAGAATAAGCATAACGGCCAAATGATAAACTTGCTCTCTTTCGCTCAGGTTTATTTATTTATTTAATTAATTAAACGCACGCGCAACCGAACTCTGGTAAGTGAGCAGACGTGATGACGAGCGCGACCCGTGATATTGCATTATAGAGCTCTTAAGAACTCAAGCAGTTGATTTTAAATCAGTTACACAGATGTTAGTAGGTATTTGAAAACTGCAAATGAGAGCGGAACGCTGATATTATTAGATCACGACTGAAATGTGGAATATCAGACTGACGAAAACGAAACTTTGCTTACGCTTGGTACGAGCATTAGGGCGAGCTATCCGGCCCGTCTGCAGTGTGCAGATCAGCTGTAATGATCAGATAGCGCCACGTCATCGAAATCGTGGACGCCAATTTTAACCATGATTTCGACTCGGACGTGTAGGAAGCCATGGAGAAATGCTTACCTGAATGAAGTTTAATCATGTAGAGGACGCATTAACAGTGCTGGTGGAGGTGCGGTGCCTACCAAACCGAATCAAAGCCTTGGAGGGGAGTTTGAACTTGAACCAGTGAGAGCTAGATCGTCTCGTGATTTGCAGAGTTGTTGATTCATGTCGGTGGGTCTGTGATTTGCGGGATAATAATGGCACCTGTGCAGACAGCGCGGTTCTGGAGTGCTTTAGCCTAAAGACAGCTTGAACTTCTCGGCCTTAGCTGATCAAAACTCTGAGGACCGCTGTGTCTACGGGAAGATGCGAAGACTGAGCGCAGGAACCTCGACGTGCGGTAGGAAATAGGGCGGGACATCGTCGGATCTCGCAAATTGTAAGCAAAATATCCTGAAACACGTTGCCTGGCGACTGAACGAGAACATGAATAAATGCGACAGCATCTACTTGTTGTCGCGTCGGCATCTGCGAACTCAAACATGTGTAAGTACCGATCTTTTATACCACAAGAATAAGAACATGATTGGATAGCCTGAATGTAACACGTGACGCGGTAATTAAGTCTTCCTGGCAGAACTTATGCTAAAGCTTTCATTTCTAAGTTATATTTAAGTTCAGTAACTTCACTTAAATGACAATTAATATGTAATCTTCATTGCAATTTAAGTGAACTTACTGAACTTAAATATACAAGCTTGATAAAAGTGATCATTCTAGAAGAAAATTTCAAATGGCACTTAGAAGTTTTTGCATCTGAACTCTTCATATATATATATATATATATATATATATATATATATATATATATATATACACACACACACGCACATACACACACATATAGATATATATTGAATTGGTTCAAAGTTATGGTTGGAATCATCTTGAAAAGAAAATTGTCCCTTTCCATAAATGTCTTAGTAGGCCAATACATTTTATCATACATATTTCAAAGTTAAGGATTCATTATTTTGATATAGCTTGTATTGGAACAAATACTATAACATCTTAGTTGAATAGTTTATTGACAAAACACTATATACTTACATATAAGCAGAAACTGCTAACAAAAGCTTATTTGATGTCTATATTAGAGTAAAAACTTTATAATCTATCCAAAACTAGTCAAGGAAATGTTGTCTTTTATTTTGTCTCTGCGTTCATTTATTTATTCATGTCACACACAGAAACATGATTCAAATTTAAACAGTAGGCTATTTTTGCATTTACAGACACTAACATTATTATATATCGTGATTAGTACAAAGCACAAGAATAAAACACTTACAAAATTCTCAGCTCCTCGCTCCTCAAAGTAAAAATAAACCAGCACTTGTTCTGAGGTAGGTAAATGTCCCGATTATTCCTCACAGCCTTGCAAGATGACAGTACATTAATCTGACTAAATATTGTGTGTTTCCTAAGTTTATGTGGGCGTTTACATGTCTCAATGTGCTGCTTCAGATCATTTGCTCTTGAATAGCACACGCTCTCCCTGGGTGTGTCATATTAGGAAAATAGTGAGCTGAGACAACAATAATGAGAACAGCTGACATCTCTCCCTTTTTATATAGATTACATAAACAGAGAATATTTATTTTAATTTTAAATAAGATAATTTAAAAGTAAAAACTTAAATGATAAACATTTTTAGCTTTTTTAAAAATTTTTATTCACTTATAATGGTTCTGAGACTAGTAGAGTGTCAGTAGATCAGTTGAGTTACAAAAACATCTAGAAAAGTAATTGGCAGTTGCCTTCCTCTAATCCTTTTTTTCTTTTCTAGATGACAGTAATGATAACTGTGCTCCTGCTGCTGATGGAAAGGTGAGACTATTATGGCAGTTTATATAATTATGTAATATTTGCAGTCTCCATCCCCTAACAAACCCCATTTCTTCACCCTACATGTGTGCAGCTGGTTCAGTCCATGGGTGCTGCGATCTACGGTGCTTTGGACTGGGGACTGGATGACAGTGAGGAACGGGAATTGAGCCCTCAGCTAGAACAGCTCATTGAGTTTATGGTCAGTGGTCAGGACTGCAGCGAATCTAAACAATGTGGCAGTAATGCAGCTAAAGACGAGGGCTACAGTGGCCAAGAGGAGGATGAAGAAGACGAAGAAGAAGGAAAAGTACATGGCATTCATACTGTTCATCAGGTTATGACACTTTGTTCCCGCCGGCTGGCAAATCCAGCTTTGGCACCAGAGCACTACCAGGCCGTGTGTCGGGCGCTTTTCCTGGAGACCCTTGAGCTTCAGACCTTCCTCAGCAGGATAAGAGATGCTAAAGAGGTGAGTAACCATACTGATGGAACCAATGGTGCTCCTTGGTCATATCTGTGATCATATTTCTTGTTAAGAAATTCAATTTCATGCATCTTTAATAAAACATGTAACAATGAAGTAAAAGTAGAAAATGTAGGGGGAAAACTGCTTATTTGTGGCGCTGATCAGTGGTTCTGAACTTGTTGGTTACAAATCAAAAATGTATTACAAATGAAAAAAAAAATGCAAAAATGTAAAAAAAAGAAATAAAATTTATAAAATGCAACTAAACATAGAACTAAACGTATACATAGAAATAGCTAAATAAAAAGTCTAATTTTTTAAAAGGGAGGAGAAAGTCTTTGATTTTGTTATGAAAGTTCTAGTGAAATTAGATAGATGGCACCAGGTACATGAAAGCATGTCATGCCTTCAGCCTTGAAAATCATGGAAGGCAGTGTTGTAGTCGAGACCAGCTCACTCGAGTCCGAATCGAGACCGAGACCAAAGAGAGTCGAGTCCGAGTCGAGACCAGAGTGGCTGGATTACCCGGGTCTCAAACCAGACTTAAAGATATCTTCAAGAATATGTAAAATATTTGGTGGTAACAATAAAATTGGAACCATACTCAAACAGTAAACCAGATATACCATGGAATCATGTACATGTAATGGTAAAAAGGCCACATAGTGGTGTAAAGGTAATTTTGTTATAATTATGACTTAAAATTATTACAATCAGTAACTGCTCTTTAAAATAACATTACTGCACACAAATTCTGTGTGGCGCTTATATGCAAACTGAATTATGGATGATAAGGCAGACATTTTCAATACATAGCTTGAGGCTCCACATCACATCTGACCTGGGTCCTGCTGCATTTGCGCGCCGCAAACGTTATAGTCTCAACTGATGCGCAGTTGCGCACAAGAAAGTCAGCAATCATGGAACGTTTCAATCAAACAATTTAAAGAAATGTTAACATATAGCAAAAATCATGACATATTATGAATGGGACTTGAGTGGACTCGGGAATAAGTCCGAGTCCCAATATGTTAGAGTACGAGTCAATTCCGAGTCAAAATGCACACGAGTCCATGACAAGACCAAGACCATTAAAGGGAAGAATGCTGGCAAGAATACTGTTTTTAGAGTAACTGTGGAGTATTTGTTTTTAACATTACTGTCGTAAATACCACTCACGGAGGGCATGACCTGTTACATAGTATACAATAGTAGATTGTGTTTAATTTGTCGTTTAATGAGATCTAATAATAATAATAATAATACCTGTAATTTATAAAGCACTTTTCATTTGCGAACAGATCTCAAAGTGCTACAGCAAGCGTAAAATGAGCAAGAATAAGATAACATAAAAAGTGAAAATTCTAGATTAAAAGAATCTTTTTCTAAATAAGAAAGTTTTTAAGCCTTTTTTAAAATGGTCGACTGGCTGTGGTGCCCTCAGGTGGACTGGCAGTGAATTCCATAGTTGCGGGGCAGCAGAGGAAAATTAAGCGCGGTCTCCCATGGTCCGGAGCTTGGTTCTGGGAGAACAGAGAAGATTGCCATTTTGTGAGCGGAGGTTTCTAGTTGATGTTTGCTGGGTGAGGAGTTCCTTGAGGTATAGTGGTGCATTACCATGGATGTATTGGTGTGTGAGGAGATTGATTTTATATTGAATCCTGGCGGAGATGGGAAGCCAGTGGGGTGCTTGAAGGATGGGTGTTATATGTTCATATTTACGCACTCTCATCAGGATCCTAGCAGCACTTGTCACGGGAACACACAGAGAAACAGGTGGATCCAAATGTAGCATATTTATTATCAGGGCAATCCAACTCATAGTCATCCATGCAGGGGTCAAAATCCATTTTAGCAGTCCAATAAACAAATAAACAAGAAACAAAACAAGAACATGCAAGAAAACAGACCTCGGAAGTGTTAGTGACATTCAGCAACGAATCCGTAAACAAACTAACACAGACAGGGAATATATACACAGAACTAACAAGACTAACACAGAACAGCTGGGAACAATGATTACAGGGAACAGCTGAGTGCAATGAACTGATGAGTGACAGTGACAGAGAATGCTGGGAAATGCAGTTCCAGAATTACATGACACCGAGGGGAAGGAGGACATCTAGTGGACAAACAAGGAAACACAACCAGACACTGTGACATAACCCCCCCTCTACGGAGTGGCTACCAGACACTCCACGACAACAACTACAACACAATCACAAGAGTTCAGGAGGGAGGTGGAACGGTGGAGGATCAGGGGGAGGGATGGTGGGCCAGGTCCGTGAAGGGAGACAGGAACAAGGGGTGAGGGCTTAACCGAGGACCAGGGCGAGACACAGAGTCCATCGGGTGGCCAGGGCGAGACACGTAGTCCATCGGGCGGCCAGGGCAGAGCAGACCTTTCGGGTGGCCAGGGCGGAGAAGACCCCTCGGGTGGCCAGGGCGGAGAAGACCCCTCGGGTGGCCAGGGCGGAGAAGACCCCTCGGGTGGCCAGGGCGGTGAAGACCCCTCGGGTGGCCAGGGCGGTGAAGACCCCTCGGGTGGCCAGGGCGGTGAAGACCCCTCGGGTGGCCAGGACGGTGAAGACCCCTCGGGTGGCCAGGACGGTGAAGACCCCTCGGGTGGCCAGGGCGGAGCAGACCCCTCGGGTGGCCAGGGTGGAGCAGACCCCTCGGGTGGCCAGGGCGGTGAAGACCCCTCGGGTGGCCAGGGCGGTGAAGACCCCTCGGGTGGCCAGGGCGGTGAAGACCCCTCGGGTGGCCAGGGCGGTGAAGACCCCTCGGGTGGCCAGGGTGGTGAAGACCCCTCGGGCGGCCAGGGCGGAGCAGATTTTTCAGGTGGCCAGGGCGGTGAAGACCCCTCGGGTGGCCAGGATGGAGCAGATCTTTCAGGTGGCCAGGGCAGTAAAAACCCCTCGGGTGGCCAGGGCGGGGAGGACCCCTCGGGCGGCCAGGGCGGAGCAGATCTTTCAGGTGGCCAAGGTGGTGCGGACCCCTCGGGCGGCCAGGGCAGAGCAGATCCCTCAGGACCAGACACCGGCTCGGGAACAGGCGCTGGCTCTGCCTCCGGCACGGGAACAGGCGCCGACTCAGGAACTGACACTAAAACAGACACAGTCACAAGAACAGACACAAACACAAACAAAAACGCTGGGTCCTGAACCAATATGAGCTCCGGCTCAGGGATCGGCTCAGGGACAGGCACCGGCTCAGGGACAGGCACCAGCTCAGGGATCGGCTCAGGGACAGGCTCAGGGACAGGCTCAGGGACAGGCTCAGGGACAGGCTCAGGGACAGGCTCAGGGACAGGCTCAGGGACAGGCTCAGGGATCGGCTCAGGGACAGGCACCGGCTCAGGGACCGGCTCAGGGACCGGCTCAGGGACCGGCTCAGGGACCGGCTCAGGGACCGGCTCAGGGACAGGCTCAGGGACAGGCTCAGGGACAGGCTCAGGGACAGGCTCAGGGACAGGCTCAGGGACAGGCACCGGCTCAGGGACAGGTCTCTCCAACGTCTTAATCAGACACTCCAGATAGTCCCAGCTCAGGGATACAGACGGGACCTGACCAGTCTTTTGTCGGGCAGACGGGACGTGAACAGTCTCTCGCTGGGCCGACGGGACGTGGACAGTCTCTCGCTGGGCCGACGGGACGTGGACAGTCTCTCACTGGGCCGACGGGACGTGGACAGTCTCTCGCTGGGCCGACGGGACGTGAACAGTCTCTCGCTGGGCAGACGGGACGTGAACACTCTCTCGCTGGGCAGACGGGACATGAACACTCTCTCGCTGGGCAGACGGGACGTGAACACTCTCTCGCTGGGCAGACGGGACATGAGCGGTCTCTCGCTGGGCAGACGGGACGTGAACAGTCTCTTGCTGGGCAGACGGGTATTTCCTCCTCCTTCTCCGTCGTTCTTTATGGTGAGGTATAGGCTCCAGGCTGGACAGGACCAGCGGTGAAGGAAGCTCTGGGCTGAGCATCACCGGCCCATGGTCGGAGAAAGACCAAAGTGGAGAGTGATTCCGGGGCTCACTTCTAGGACCTCCTCTCCTGCGGCCTCCACGAGTCCCAGAAAACTTGGCCAGACGGGTTCCCCTAAAAGATTCTCGGTCATCGGTGGCCGGGTTCTCAGGGGAATTGACCACCTTGACCTCAGTCCGGCGGGCCAATAAGGCAAAGCCCTGAAAAATGTTCATGCTACTGGATCCATTATTTGACGGATTCGTTCTGTCACGGGAACACACAGGGAAACAGGTGGATCCAAATGTAGCATATTTATTATCAGGGCAATCCAACTCATAGTCATCCATGCAGGGGTCAAAATCCATTTTAGCAGTCCAGTAAACAAATAAACAAGAAACAAAACAAGAACAGGCAAGAAAACAGACCTCGGAAGTGTTAGTGACATTCAGCAACGAATCCGTAAACAAACTAACACAGACAGGGAATATATACACAGAACTAACAAGACTAACACAGAACAGCTGGGAACAATGATTACAGGGAACAGCTGAGTGCAATGAACTGATGAGTGACAGTGACAGAGAATGCTGGGAAATGCAGTTCCAGAATTACATGACACCGAGGGGAAGGAGGACATCTAGTGGACAAACAAGGAAACACAACCAGACACTGTGACAGCACTGTTCTGTATGTATTGGAGTTTCTGCAGAGACTTGTTAGAGATCCCATAGAGAAGTGCGTTGCCATAGTCCAGCCTGGAGGAGACAAAGGCATGGACAAGTTTTGTGGCGTCGGAAAGAGTGAGAGTGGGGCGCAGTTTGGTAATATTCCTGAGGTGGAAAAAGGATGATTTGCACAGATGTTTGATGTGGTTGTCAAAAGTAAGGTGAGGGTCAAATCTTACACCGAGGTTGGTTACTGTTGATGAGAGAGGGATGTCTTTTCCAGAGAAGGTGATAGAGGTAATCCGGGACGACTGGACCTGATGGGGAGTGCTGACAAGAATTGCTTCAGTTTTGGAGCAGTTTAACTGAA